GTGCAAGAAAGAAGCAATATATCTTTTAAACGTTTTATTACGATGATCGAACACCTATTTATGATCGAAAAAACTTTCCCAAAAAAGAAGTGTAGCTGTTCTGCTTTACTGTTTCCATATACAAACAGTGACAGTTAGTTACTGATTTGCATTCGACCAAGGGGTTGCCGCGTTGTTCTATCGGCTTTTCTTGCGTGTCTAATTCCTTCTCCAAATAAAAGTTATTTTCTTCGTAAAGGAAACTGTCTACTAATTTAAAAAAAAAAAAATTATTTATCAGTTAGAAGAATCATTCCAAAAGTTTATTTATTTAAATTATATTTAAACGAATCAGAAATAAAACTTTAGAATAATTTTTAGAATGCGAAAATAATAACAGAAAAGAAGTTATGAGCTATAAAGCTGTAATTGTTGAGACATTTAACTGTTTTATAGTTTCCAACAAACTTTTGCAATAAAATTATAAAAGTCAGTAAAATAACTCTAAAGTAATTGTCGTAAAATTCATCGTTTCATTGATAATAAAAATGTTAACTGGTAAACAAATTATAAAAGTAATAAAACACTCTTCAATAATTATGTTTAAATCGTTTAAGATTCAGTTTGCCTTAGTAGTTATGTAAAAACAAGCAATAGATATGATATCACAATGTAACCACTAATTGATATTTAAAATAAAATAAAATTTATCAAGTTTACATGGTTTCTAGCAACACCTCTCGTGTTACACACAAGGGGTGTTGCTAAAAACCACGGTGGCTGATTCATGATGGCTGATATTATTGCAATTTGTTTGTAAACATATAAAATATCATGGTAACAAGTCCATACCTGGTCAGAGTCAGAGTTAAAGTCAGATGGCAAAACAAAGTCGAAGTCGGTAGATTTTTACACGATTTCATAGTCCTCGTTATATATAACAGATGATGGCAATTAGTCAAAAAATGACCTCCCAAAAGAATTACATTTTGGACACATAAGATCTTGAAACATCGGGAAATGCAAAAACATTCAAAGTTTTTTTTTTTGTTTGTATGAATGTTAATGTCTAATTGCACAATTTTGTTTTCCCTCTTTAGAGCTTAATAACTCCTGTGCTTTCGAAAATTTTTGAAATATTGCAGGAAAGGTTGAGTATTAGAAAGACTCATGCTATTAAACTTTAATTGTTTAAGATTGACAGGATGGGAACATAAATTATGTCTGTGTGTTATATCTCGAGTAGGGTAGACTTAATGACGATTTTTACTCGTTATTGAAATTTAAACTTTTTCTAACAAAACCCACTCCAACTCTCAAAATTAAGTGTTTTTAATCATTTTAGCCGATTTCGATTGTATAAGCCCATACAAGACTAGCGATCATAGTACTAGATAATGTCAAACATCATACGACAAAATCGCGCGATTCGTGCGATATCGCTATGTTTTGCGCGCGTTTAATCAAAATCTATTGAACAGATTTAGAGGTCAAACACAGTTCTATAAGCCTCATAGAAGTAGCTTCGCTGAAGCTATGCTTCGATAATTCTACAATTGATATAGTCAAATTAGAAATTTTTACAATTGTACATTAGAAAGTACTGTTTAGCATTAGCGAGGTTGCGGCCGACATTCACTTTTTAGTGATGAAAACGTCGACCACAACCTTGTTATTGGCATTGGTGTAAATATTGCAACCCCACTTAACAATTAGTTTGACTATAATATTATGAAGTCTAGCTAACAACTAATATCTGTAAAACACAATAAGAAATTCTGTTAAAATATTCCTAAAAAATATTTTTGGGTTAACAGAATTTTCGTCCATCCTATGTAATCGTACACGTAGTATCCTCGCATGTCTACAATTAATTCTCATTGTTGTGTAAAACATATGCCTAAAGCTGTTTTGTCACTAGAAAGGATACATAAAGGTGACCTAAAAATCAGTTAACTGTTATATGTTTGTACTTCTTATACAGCTTATAATAAATCTTAAACAGAGTTCAAGAGAACTTATTTCTGCAAAATTGGTATAAATAAGTATTTAAGTTAACTGACTTTTCGTACACCTTATGTATTTAGTCATAGATACATAAAAACACCGAATTTTTCGTAAAATTGTGTGTAATTTTCGAGCATTGTTTTACATTATTTGTAAGAATCTACATCACAACACGATCTTCGTACACATCACAAAACTCACAATGTTACTATTATTTATTTATTTATTCATTACGGGTATCATTAATACATGAGAAAAAATTATTCTTCTTCTACATAATAATGGCACTTATAAAATAAACATAATAGTACTTGTAATAATGGTTCTTATATATAACACAGTGAAACTATGAGAACATTTCTATATTTTTGTACTTGGTGACTTGAAACGTCAAAAATGCAAATAAAAATTTATTGTGTTGCAATACAATAGCTTATCAGTAGCTTAAAGTAGCCTTAATAACGATACTTTCAATTTTTTAAACTAAAAACAAGAAAAATTATAATCGATTGAATTGGTTAGCCTAATAAATAAGGATGTAATAAATTAGAAAGCATACCACGTTAGTTTATTACAATTTTATTTATTAGGCTAACTAATTCAATCTAAAGTAATGTTGTGGGCTAAAAGCGTTATTTAATAATAATATTTATATAAAACTTATTGTATATATGGACTTCGAAAGTGTGTCGAAAATGCATGCACAAAATTTTGTTTGATTCTGTATTAAAAAAATTCAATAATAATAATTTATCGTTGTAAAAAGAAACTGTCAAATAAAAAATATAAACGAAAAATTAATATTTGATGTCCATAAAAAGACATGTCTGTAGAAATTTCCAAGAAAGATGAACTTCACAAGTAAAAACAATACATGAATGCAAGACTTAAGATTAAACATCTTCTATAAAGATCGAATTGTCGGTCGGTCTGGGTTTTGATATTGTTACGTTTGGTAACGTGTGAAAAACGAATCGGGAAAGAGGGGTAAGTCGACATCGACATATCGGAATGTTCGATCTAAGATTAAAAAAAAACTTATAAAAATCGCGCAAAATTAAGAATATGACGCTCTCGGTTTTCTGTTCGCGGTTCTTGGTTCGAGGTGTGCCTCTACGGAATTTTGTGCTCCTGGGATTACATAACGAAAGCTGTTTTGACATCCGAAGATTTGGTTTTCGCTCTCTCGTCCCTTCAAGAATCGTCAAGGTACACCTAGTCGCCGAAAGAATATATTTTAAAATATTGTTGAGTGTCCCAAGGCCATCGCCTTCAACGTCTCGATCGTCAGAACATCTGAACTTTTTGTACAGACTTGTTTACAGCTTTAGATAGGCAGTATCTTTATTATAAAAATAGTTGTAAGAAATATTTATTTTTGTTAAACGGTTTGACGATTGCTAACCTGTCCCTAAGAGTTTCTCCACTCCCACGCGATAGTCCTGACTGCGCTACGATCCTGACTAACGCAATCAGTCGGCAAACCTCATATACAGTCGATCCCTTATGACACTGTTGATAATTCCGTTTTATATAAATTTCATGTTATACGAGTCATTTAAATTTTATAAATACGCGAGCCGTTCACAGCCCGGCACACGTGTTTGTAAAATCTAACTGACTCGTAAAATATGAAATTCATATAAAACGAAATAATCAACAGAGGGGTCGAGTGTATATATACTTGAGTTTTGCCCTACTCTCCATTTAGTGCCGATTTTCAAAAGACATAAATGTAACACTAAAGCGAAGCTTGACGACATACAGAATAGATATAAATCATTCCTTTTGGTTTTACTGCTACCACTTTTTTAATGAAATATTATTATAAGTATATGAAATTTCTACAAGTTTCACTATTAATTGCAAAATCATATTTCTTATATTTTCAAAGTTATAAGGTCTTTTACTCACTCATGCTTTGCCCTTATGCTAACACATCATTGACTGATCACAAAGGAAAAGTTATAATTAATGTTATAAAGGAAATTGTAAACTTTCCATTATAACATTCGCTGTAAATTGAGTGTGATGTCAACTGTTATCACTTGTCTACTTAGAGCTGTGATATTTATTATCCCTGTGTTTATTCTTAATTAATATCTTTTTACATCTGATATGAAGTTCCTTTTTTAACTAACCTGGTTATGTTCAGTGATAATGAATAATCGGTATAATCAGTAAAAGAGTATAGTTCAACTAATACATTATATTTAGGGTAAACCGTACTTTTTACCTAATTCGTACAAAATTTAGTTTAATATTGTTAAGTGAAATTTAAAAAACCTGCTGCATGAAAGAATATAGAATTAATTGTATTGTTTTTGACTTTATAACTTTTGTAATTACAGTAATAATACATAAAAAGGCAGTAAAGTTTTTAATGGTCAGGAACAGGTTAGATAGTCATTTCACTATTAAACTGAAAAATTATTTTAATAATTGGATAATAATAAATAATATATTTCAAATTATACTAACGCGGAAGTAATGATGTAACAATATGAAATTTTCAAATCCGTGATAAAAGGCCCACAAATATTAGATAACGAAATTTTTAACATAAATATATTGCACTAGACATTTATAATGTGAAATATTTTTAGTATAATATTAAAAACATATAAAACACGGAAGTAACTTCCGTGAGACTTTGCTATATGAAACAATATCTATTTTACATAACGTATCTCATAAGTGACAGTGAGTTGTTGTATTAGTCCGAAGAAATTACTCTGGAAAATATGAAGATATGTGTAAATTATTGTAGATCATTATATAAAATAACTTAAGGATAAATATACAAATTTAAAGCAGTCAATTTTCAAAAAGTAGTTAATAAATTTAATTGCATAATTACATTCAGAAAATCTGGAGGTAAACAGTTTGTAATGACTAAATTGATATAGTGTGTAATTACACAATTTAACGTATGAGTCACAAAACATAATACTTACTTTTACTATGACGTTGAACATGCCACACTTGTATATATAGCCTGTATTTCATAATCTTAATGCAGTGCATTCAAAAGTTTAGATAGAAACATGAACGTAGCACTGTTGTTCCTGATAACATTATCCTTGGTGTTGATACGTAAGATATATACATAGATTTCATAGATTAATATTGATATGCTTAACTTAATATAATGTCTTATTATAAAATATTATTACTGTAGCTAATGTTTAATTTACTAAAAAACAATATATTTACTTTTTATAAAGAGTAAAATATTTACAACATAATTAAGTGTGTCCCAAACATTCTTTGATATACCACCCTGGCAGAATCCGAGTTGACTGTGATTAAGAATATTCTCTTATTTCTTTTCGAGGAAAACAGTTAAATAAACTCACGGTTCTACCAGAAGTTAGAGACGTAACAACTAACTATTAAGATTCGTACCGCTACTCGTTGGCTCACGATGCATAATCACGTTACCATTTGCCATATACGACCAATCAACTATAAAAATTTGACAAATTTGTGGCTTTAAAATTTAGCTTAAACTTAACTGTGTTTATAGGATACTTGAAAACGCATTCTTCATTGAGCAGAAACACCTATTCACTTCCTAGCTTCGATTAGAATTTAGATTAAGTAATGGCAAGATGTAACATACAATTTGATGTTTTTAAGCTGTAAACAAACGAGTCCAGATATAAAAGGATCGCATTGCTCGTAAAAATTTTGAAAATTTGATTATGAGGAAGATTTCTGTAATTTTAATTAGAGTTCGTTAAGTGATATCAATTCTTTATTAATACGTTGGCTATTTCGTTGGTATGCTGCGGTAGTGTTACGAATTTTATTTTACACTTAACATAAATAAAAGACTGTTCATTTATCGTTAGTACAGAAATGGAAGTATAACATTATTATATCTACGTTTTAACATTAAATTATTTTCTAATGAACAGAGTTTTTCGAAAATTAAAACATAGTACTCAGTAAAGCATGTACTTTGGTTTAATTTACATACTGGTACATTATACAATAGTTCGTTGAGACTTTTGCTGTAGTTTCATATTCAAAGAAATTCAAACACGTATTTTTTGCTTATTCTAATCATGTACTTACTGTTTTCAGATAACGCCGAATCGAAGAAAGAGATTCCGGGCGGTTATCCTATAAATCGATTCGAATGTACTTACGAATGTGCTCACGCTGACACGGACCATATTCGATGCAAGAATTTGTGTAAACAATTGGGAGGAAGTTGGGGGTATTGTTATTGGAATACCTGTTACTGCGAATATCTTCCAGATTCAGTGCCTCAGAAAAATAGTATCGAAGTTTTTAGCTGCGGAGCCACTATCGTTGGAGTGCCTGATACCGAACAACAGTAAAGAATTGTTGAAATAAAATAAAATATATTAGGCCAGTTATCTGTGTAGTTCCTTTTTATATAAACTAAGCTCCCTGTTCTACATCCAGAAACAATTTAAATATTGTCAATAAATTATATTAAAGTGAAAATCTTTCCGTAATCAAAACTGTTTGGAGGGTATACAAGAATAACAATCTGATCCATAAGGGTTTAATGCATTTTATTATTCATTAATTTCAATAGTAAAAATTTTAAATACAAAGATTCTTTTCTAGTTTGGTCGGTGGACCAGGGTCAGGTCTACAAAGAGACTAATAAGGTTTATGGACTGAGCCCACAAGTGTCAAGAGGCCACAAAAATTCAATGACTATCATAATTTTTAATACTTCTCTATTAACAATGAGGACTTATCGTATTGTAAAAATAGCTACTGTTAATAATACAATAATAATGATGATAATGTATAGTATTACTAGCAGGTAGGCCCGGCATTGCTCGGGCAAAAGTAACGATAGCAAAGATTAGGATTATTACGTTATAATCAACCTTACCCGTTTTCACAGAATGCAAAAATTGGGTCCCTCTGTTTCCACACTAATTAGAGAATTTTTAGATGAGTTTAAAAATGTGTTCGATTTCTTGCAAAAACGAAAAATCTGCATCTGCGTCTTGCACGTCACTTTCTCTTAACAATTCCATTGTTACGTAACACTTCCATTCTTAACACTTCCATTGTTGATGGAAGTGTTAAGACTCGATCCTGTTTTTCTCCCCCGTAGGGAAGAATTACGAAAAATCCCTTTTTATTGTGCGTTCTCGTGACATATGCTATCTGTGTACTAAATTTCAACTTTCAACTCCTAACCGTTTGGGCTCTACGCTTATTATTATTATTATTATTATTATCAACCCATTTGGAATATATATATAGATTTGTTTTATTGAAAATGGGGACCAATTCGATTTCAATAAGCCCTAGGACTGGGAAAACCTACATCTGCCCCTGCGCTAGACGCTACCATGTATGAACTATCCTAAGGTTCAGCAATAAAGAATTATTATTATTATTAATCACTAATAAAGAATAATAATAATAATGAACACCAAATTTCTGTATCATGCAAATGTATGCCTACTTTTGCGCATTCGCTGTATATTTAAATAATTTTTAAAATATAATTTCGGATTGGCGCTGAAATAAATACTCAATTATCCGATTTTGTCAGATAAAGAGCAAGTCTTTTTAAAATGCTGCCACTTGCAACATTGAAGTGTTGTTTTTTTTACTCTTATGTATTTCTACGTATGATTGAAAGCGAATCAAAATAGGAAATACCATCCTAAGCCTTGTGTAATTCAATAAAAATTCCATCTAAACGTCAAACTTTTAATAGGTCATATCGATACCTTACTGTGAGATATCCGGGGGTACTAAAATTCTTCAGAATTTTGTACCACTTAATCGGCACATATTAAGTGAAATCTGTTCTCAAAGTTTCAAATCGAGACATTCAATCTTAAGTCAAAGATGACCTGGAGGGCTTTAGAAACAGATCCAAATTCTAAGATTCAGACCTGCCTTTAAAGGAAGTTTTAAAAAATCTGAGTCAGAATGTTGACACCAGTTAATTAAATTTAGATACGCGGATTAACACGCGTGTGAAAATATTATGGATTGGATTCAAATAATTGAGAGACATCTCGTCAGAAATAAAACAGAATTGAATAATACCAAAAACAAACAAAATATACACAAAAATGGAAATTATTTAATAATTAAAATAACGATCGAGAGAAAATATGGATTTAATTAAAATATACGTTTAGAGAGAGAGAGCTCACAATTACAATGATAATCATACTACCTCACGTTACTATATCTTTTTCTTATCAGAAGTTTATACTTCATTTCATGGAGAGGTCTTGAATTGGCACAGTATTAAAAGTTTCTTTTATTTTTCTAATTTAGCTTATCATTAACTCGATTGGATACGATTATGGGCGTTGGACTTCAGGAGAGGACTTGAGGTACGTCTTCCTCATCTAGGATCTGGTGGCATACTCTTCTAAGGGCGCTGGCATTAGGAAACAATATGGAATACGTCTGGCTACTCTGAGATCCTTCGGCGTACTCCCCGAATCATGCAAAACTTTGACTATATCTCATGATTTGTGACCAATCAGCATTTTAGATTCTCTCACGTGAACAGAAGAAAAGGTGATTTATCGAGGAGTCGATAATTCCCAGGGTGGTGAGATTTGTGATAGATAAGAGTAAAACAAAAGGATGTTTCAACTTCCGTTACAGAAAGTGACTTTTTATCAGTTTTCTCACGTTAGAAAAACGATATTTTCACACCAAAATGATAGAATATTTTACTTCATAATTTTAACTTTATAATAAAATTGTTAATTAGACCCAGAGGCTATTCAGATCTCACATTACTGATTTTCTTTTCCTTTTAGTACAGTAGCTTTTACATCAATTTTAGCTTGTGTGTATTTTTACCTAAATAAAGCGACAGTAATGCTTTGTGTTTATGTGCGATTTTTAAGAAAGTTACAAAACGCGCTACACAAACCCTTCATACAAATACTTGTGAAATTTCTGTCAGATGCTCTTAGTTGGTGGAAAACATTATCTCTAGAACTTAGATAACATTTTTACACCTTAAACCACAGAGCCACGTAAAAGCGATACCCATTTGCAATAGATTTTTTTATTTCCAGAAACTGACTCTGATTGCACAACAGAACAACAATCAGGAAATAAAGCTAGATATTCGTTGCTATTTCAATATTTTTGTAACCTAACATCCAGTACCAAACCACCAAATTTTGTCATTAAGTCAAATATTTTTATTTAGTAAAAGGCATTTTTAATTTAGATTTATTAATTCAAAATAAAAATACTAAAAAATACATAATTACAAATTAATTAATTAATGAAATAACAAAAGTAATTACAATACTTATAACGTGGAAATATATTTTTTATGTTAATAAACATAATTAAAATATATACTAGAATATTATCATTATTTTGTATCACACACAATGGCATGCACAAGCTAATGTATTGTATATCTCATGAACCAAATGATTTCTTGGGCATTATTCATAATGACTTGGTATTATAAATATTGTCTAATTAATCACTTGGTTGATAACAATTTAATTTATTACTAACATCAAAACTATAAATGTACTTTATTTAATTATTAATATGCATAATAAATATTATATATATGTATATATTAATAATATAACTTACCTGTAATATCAAATAGTTAAAAATTGTGTCTTGATTGAAAGAAACGACAATAGAGTATGAATTGTTGATTTATTAACAATTACAGAAAATCTTGTTGCTATTGTTGTCTTGAATAACGTTACGTTCTTATAAAATTTAATATTGTTTCTGTTTATAAAATTTAGTAAAATTTTCTTTAAAAATTTAGTTCAATATCAAAAAATTCTTAAGATTCGCTTTCATAATATTTTATCAATCTAAAAAAAGTTGCATTCCTTTTTGTATGAACTTAAATTAAATTTTGAAAATTTGATAGTTGAACCAAAGTTATGATTTAAGAAATAAATATATTTTCAGAAATATACTTTCTCATAACTCAGTAAAGTTGAGTCTGTGCCGGACACACAGACGTTTCCCTCTCAATTTTTGGGCTCAAAAGTAACAATCCTTGTACTTGACTGTTGGGAGCAGGGGAACTTTCCTCTTTCCTCAGCCAAAAGACATTATCCTTGTAACTGTATATGAGGCTAGGCGCAGGCGATGCGATTTTTTTTTCTATATTTCGTTAGGCACAATGAATTGCATCAGGAAGATTTGACTCCACTGTAAATATAAAAGATGTGAACTTATATTTTCTGCACATATATATAGTTAGATTTTTGGATTCTATGTCAGTAGTATAAGTTTGATATGTGGATTACAAATTTTAAAGGCGAAAAATATATAATGTAAGTAGTAGTGGTTTGAAACATACTGATCACAAAATTAATTTTCTAATTACAAATTTAAATTAAATTAATTTTATTTTAACAATAAGGCAAAGTTTCTATATTAATTATTATATGTTTAAATATCTGAGAAAATTAAAACACGACAATTGTATGAAATAATATAACACCAAAACAAAATTATTTTTTAAATTTTTTTATTTTTACATTAATACATTAAATTACTTTATTATATTTAAGCTTTTCCAGTTTTCTCATTCACTTTATCTAAAACATGGCACATTTCTGCTAGTAAGTGGAGTGATAATTTCTGGTGATTGTTTACAATATATTTCTGGTCTATTTTCTGATATTTTAAAATGTAACACCATGAAAGTTCATTTCGGAAGTCATCAATAAATTGCTGGTCAAGTATTTGGTAATGAGAAACATAATTCCAGTTCAGGTAATTTTTTAATATGCGTAAAGTCGTAGTTTTTAATCGTTGGTACTTTAAAATTTTTTTAATATCAAACTTACGTATGTATCTCCTAATAAAATTATCTGAAAAAATTTGAAATTCGGCAACTTTATTTCAATTCAGATATTGTGAAAAGTTAGTTTAGAATGATTTGTCTAACACCTGATGCTCGCAAATTAAATCTCATTTTGCATATTTAATGTTTTTTTCAATAAGTGAAGTAGTGAATATATAGTTTTTCCATAGGATTTCCCAATTTAACTTATCAGCGAATTCAGAAATGAATGTGAGAGATAAATCGTTTCGTTGACTGATGATATCCCAGTCAATATAATTTCTTAAATGACAAATATTATTTTTTTCTAATGGTGAAAATGAAAAATTCCCCCAATCAATTAGCAGTTGAGTATTGTCTATAAAGAAACAAAATTATTTTTTTTGTTAGAAAATATTTATTTAATTAGTTACATAATAAGATATATTATTCATATTAATAACATTTTATTATATGGATATGGATAAACATTTAAATTGAGTACATATATTAACAGATACAAAATTATTTATTACATTTAATACAATCACGTCTTAAAAAATATTTGTTGTATATCGGTAATTTTATTTTATCATTTATAACAAAAAATTTACTTTCATACGTTTTATTGTTAGATAGTTTTAATGCTGCTTTATTACATGCTTGTTTTAAACATGGATAAGTGTTATTACAAACACCATGTATTACATAAGTATGTTTTCGTTTGTATACTATTAAAAATCTATATTGTGAAGATGATGATGATATTAAAAAATCTGCAAGAATCAAAAGTAGAGGCTGTAATGACCGAACGATAGCACATCTATTCCATTATCTAGAATAAATTCTTTGTTATAAAACGGAGAAAGTGTAATT